GGGGTGGAAGAGTCAGTGGTAGGTTTGAATGAGGGATCACTTCAGTATTTGGAGTGTCTGTGGAAGGAGGAAGGGTAAGTCCTGTATGTGGCGGAGTCCTGTCCGATCAGAGCGTGCGTAATGCTTGAGTGTGACTGAGGTGGAGGTGAGTCACGGGGGGGGGGCATAGTCTGGGTGGAGTGTGAGAGAGACAGGATGGTGGTGAATGTCGGGGTTATTCCAGGGAGGGCCGCTGTGTGAGGAAAGCACGGGAGAGGGAGGACCTTAGTTTCAGGGAGAATATAACGCGTGTGAGCTTTGGAAGAATACATGCGTATAAACTGAGGTTGGCTCAGAGATAGCAGTAGGGGTGTTGCTAGGTTGTTTTCAGTTTTAATTACCTGTATGTTGAATTTATTTGAACTGCACTAACTGTAAAAAGTGTGAAGATTGAAGTTAGGAGAAATACTTTAATTTCACTTATATATTCAAGGAAATGGGGGCTAGTTTGTCCCCTTATCCTTTTCTTGCCCTGCAATCTCTGAAGGTACAACTCCCCCCCCACTTTTTTTCCTGGATTCTGTCCCTGGAGTTTGCAAAGCATTGAATGGGGTGAAGGATTAGGTGATTTCCCCCATGTGTCTCCTTTGCCACATGTTTGCAGCACTCTCAATGAGTTATGTTGATGCTGCTGGTGCCAGGTTTATGCATGTGTCATAATAGGGTTTATGATATCTAAATCCAATCTTTCTGCAAATTAGTTAAGAGTTAGTTATTTAGGGAGCATATTCCAGTTGTGATATATTGAATACATTTCAAGATTCAGGGACTGTTTTAGATAAAGGTATTACTCTTCACATGTGAATGATTACTGATTTTTTTCCTTTTTTTACAGGTTATATAAAAGGATTGCCAGAGATTTGTATTATTAGTCCAAACTATGAATCTCGTATATGGCCTGGATCTTATTTTCATTGCCAATAAGTTGAGATAGGAAAACTGACAGATGCTAGGGAAATTTTTACTGATGCTTATTCTACAGGGATGTTTGGTTTCTACCAGCAACCCTGGATCAGCCTTTAATTTGTGGACTTAACAGAGATTTACCATAATACATTTCTCCACCACTGGAGGTGTGATTTAAACTTGGCTGCACAATAAATAAAGTGACTAAGCTCTGTGTTCGATCCTGTGAGTTGAAAGGGATGTGCTGCATAAAGCATGCCCACAACTAAAATTATCTTTTGGAAGAATTGCATTAACGCCAGTGCTGCTCAGTCTGAGAACAAGTGATTTTGTATTTTAATACTTAAATGCAAGCATATATGAAGTGAAAAGTCAGCATGTTTTTTAAAAGAAAAATTTGATGAAAATCAGATTTTTTTTTTAATATAAGAACTGAACACATATATTTAAGTGCAAAAGAAAACTCTTGCTTAACCCTTCCACCCTTGAATTTTATGCTATATGAAAAATAGGTTACATTTTTAGCTCTTGAGGTGAGATTAAATCCTCACTTTAAGGAGATAGCACAATATCTGCTGGACAGGAGATAATTAAAGTACTTGGAAATTGGCGTGTCTTTAAGAAATACAAATTAAACACATACTAGAAAAATGCACATTTCAAACCTATTTATTTAAAATTCTGAGGTTCAGTGATGGAAAGTCCACAAACAAATTTCCCTGTAAGTGCAGGTTCTGACCAAAAAGAGTGTGGGATCCAAGAAGATGGCAGTCCACCAGTAAAAAAAATAATGACAGAAAAGCATGTAAATAGCAAAGTACAAGCTGTAGTAAATAAATTGCCAACGATAAAAAAGGAAAATGTGGATGAATATGAAGAAACTCCCATGGAGTCTGATGGAGAAAATGCCAAACCAAACAGTACTACAATATCTGAGCCTTTGAATTTAAATCCTGGTTTGAAACACACATTGGCACAGTTCCATTTAAGCAGCCAGAGTTCACTGGGTGGGCCAGCAGCTTTTTCAGCTCGTTATTCCCAGGAAAGCATGTCACCCACTGTCTTTGTGCCTCTTCCATCACCACAGATACTTCCTAGCCCATTGCTCATTCCTTCAGACAGTTCTACAGAGCTCACTCAGACTGTATTGGAGGGAGAATCTATTTCTTGTTTTAAAGTTGGAGGGGAAAAGAGACTCTGTCTGCCTCAAGTATTGAATTCAGTGCTCCGAGATTTTTCACTACAGCAAATTAATACAGTGTGTGATGAACTGTATATATACTGCTCGAGGTGCACTTCTGACCAGCTTCATATCCTAAAGGTTTTGGGAATCCTTCCATTTAATGCCCCATCCTGTGGGTTGATCACACTGACTGATGCTCAAAGACTATGCAATGCTTTACTGCGTCCTCGCACTTTTCCTCAAAATGGCACTCTGCTTCCTGCAAAAAACACATTGGTCCAACTGAAAGAGACTGGCAGAGCCTTTGAGGTAGAGCATGAGTGCTTGGGCAAGTGCCAGGGTTTGTTTGCACCTCAATTTTACATTCAGCCGGATGCTCCATGTATTCAGTGTTTGGAGTGCTATGGAATGTTTTCACCCCAGACATTTGTGATGCATTCACATAGATCTCCTGACAAGAGGACCTGCCACTGGGGCTTTGAATCAGCCAAATGGCATTGTTATCTTCATGTTAACCAAAAATATTTAGGCACTTCAGAAGAGAGAGAACTGAAGCATCTTTTGGAGGAAATGAAGGAGAAGTTTAGCATGAAAAATCAGAAAAGAACACAATCCAAAGTAAGTTTGACTATTGAAAAATTTCTGAATCAAAAATGAAATTTATTTTAAAAGTATTCAGTTTTATCAATGTGAACAGGTATTAAGCTAAGCATAAGCTGAGTCTACTATAAAGCTTCAACACATAATACAAAGCAATAATGAAAATTCCTTTCTTGTTTGGGGTTTTTATGGTGGTACAAAACTTGCAAAAAAAAATTTTAGACTAAAAAACTAGGTTCCTTTTTTCTTTAAACTGGCAAAAACCAGGGACTTTAGTATCCTTATGGAAATACTGTCCTCTCATTTGATCTGCCACTTTTGTGTGATATTATATGTAGTGTATGTTGCCAAGTGTAAGCAAAGCAGGAAGGAGCCTAAGAATGGAGCTTCAGCTTTAATTCTGTATTGGTCAGTTAAAGCAAGTTTAACTATATCCATGGCGAATATCCAATTAGCTTGCCAAGCACCCAATAGCATGCCATAGTCTTTCAATTAAGGTAATGGTGCATTGATAAGATATTATTTAAAAATGGAAAGTTTTGGTAATGTTTGGTTTTTTTTATTGCATTGATTTTATATAATATAGATATGCCATAAGAGGTTCTTTAAGCAAGCTAAGAATTCTTTGTTGACATCTTGCGATACTGTTGGGATGGCATATTTTTATTACAAAAAAGTAGTGCTCTAAGTCTATGGCTACATCTACACTGGCATGATTTTCCGGAAATGCTTTTAATGGAAAAGTTTTCCGTTAAAAGCATTTTCGGAAAAACGCGTCTAGATTGGAAGGATGCTTTTCCGCAAAAGCACTTTTTCCGGAAAAGCGTCCGTGGCCCTGATCGTCATTTTCACAATTAGGGCTTTTTTGCGGAAAACACTACTGTGCTGTCTACACTGGCCCTTTTCCGGAACAGTTTTCTGGAAAAAGACTTTTGCCCGAACAGGAGCAGCATAGTTTTTCCAGAAAAGCACGGATGATTTTACATTAGATCGTCAGTGCTTTTCCGGAAATTCAAGCGGCCAGTGTAGACAGCTGGCAAGTTTTTCCAGAAAAGCGGCTGATTTTCCAGAATAACTTGCCAGTGTAGACACAGCGTATATGATGCTTCATAAAAATGGTAGTTTGTGCCATAAAGAGCTTATAATCTGAATAATAAGACACATATTAGCCAAATATTAAACAGCTGTAGGGAAGGAATTATTAGTGCTTGAAGAAGCGGGTTACAAGAGAGTTAGAGAAGTGAGGGCAAGTGATTGGTACCTGAACCAGAGTCAGTATGTTTGTGTGGAAGTATTAATTTCTCTGTAGGGAGAGTTTAATCTTTGAGGTTTGTGAATGCTTCCCTTTTCCTGTTGCTACCTTGTGTTCTTTGAAGCATTTACCAGTCCACTTGCAAGCTACAGACCTGATCACACACCCATTACAGTGGATGCAAGTTTTGCCATCAGTTTCAGTGGGAGCAGCAGCTAGCTATGAATATCACAGGTAGTTGTCACCCTTAGAATCAAGTCCTGGGAAGCATCAGTGCAGGGACCTAGGGGCTGTCCACTTTACAACAGTGGTGTGATAGTTATTATTTGGCCCAATAGAGATTTTTGACATTTTAGCAATCCTGAAGCATATATAATTAACCAACTTTACACTGGTGTTCTTAGTATAATTGGTGGTGTGCTTGCTCCTAGAACGATTAACTACAATATTGCTCTATCATTTCTGTGCTACACACTTGTATAGCAGCTCCAAAAGTACAAATATTATTTCTGTGCAATCCCTCTGTGCTTTCTACCCCTCCATGACCATTTTAAAGCCTAAAGCTCTGACTCTGTCAATCTGGTTAAATGCAGACCCCCAAAATAACAAGGATGATGTTCAGGTGGTCTCTGCTCTGTCCAGTCCATGAAACCCTCCAGCCCAGAGCAAGTCTAAGAGCAGTAGAGGCAATATTTAGTTTGTCTTGTTTTTTCCATGTTTGCATTTGCAGAAACTTGCCCCTCAATAGAGGACATGGAATAGATTGATAAATACAATTTTATAACTTTGCACTGGCCCACTTCAATTTTTTGCTGCTAAAGGGAAACAAAAGATAATGAAACAGTGCACCTGCAGAACAGGAAAACAACATAAACTCAAGTTAAAAAAAATTAGTGAAAAAAGAATTCAAAGTAATGAAATCAAACTCCTTCAGACCCAGAGCTGCCTCACCTTTCTTCTGAACATTTCACTCTCCAGATTCACTCCTCTCACAGTACAAGTAATCTTTGATCTCATTTATCTTTAAAAAAAAAATAAAAAAAACAAACCACCTTATCCTCAACTGTTTCACCAAAATTATTTCCCTTTTTGCCCTTCAACTCCAAGTTAACTGAGCTGTCTGTCTACAGCTGATGTATTGACTCTCATTCAGCTCAGTTCTTGATTCTTAACAATACAGCAGTGGTCTCCAACCTTTTAAAGCACAAGATCACTTTTTGAATTTCAGTACAGTACGAGATCTACCTCAAACCCAAATACTGTTGCCCCATCTCCTTTGTGCCCCTTCTCAGAGGCTCCAGCCCTGCTTAATCCATCCTCCCTCTCCTATCCTCCCTCACTTTCACCAGGCTGGGGAAGAGGGTCAGGGTCAGACTTTGGTTTTGGATTAAGTGATTTGGAGTGTGAGAGAGGCTCTGAGCTGAGCTTGGGGAAGGCAGTTGGAGTATCGGAGGGGGTTCTAGGTTTAATCTCTGGGAGAGTGTTTGGATGCAGGAGAACTCGGGACTAAAACAGGAGCTTGGGATGTAGGAAGAGTGTTTGGATGCAGGAGAACTCGGGATTAAAACAGGAGCTTGGGATGTAGGAGGGCGGTTCATGACTGGAGTAGGGTTTCAGGATGCGGGCTCCAGCTGGGCACTGCTTACCTCAGGTGGTTCCTGGGTGGTTGTGCAGTGGGGCTAAAGCAGACTAACCCCTGCCCTGGCTTTTCTCATTCCCAAAACCAGCCAGCAAACTCCTTCCATCCAAAATCCTGTTGTGCCCCCTCTGTACTCTGGTGAGAGAGGATACAGAGTGAGAGGGGGACACCCTGACATCAGCACCCCTCTTTTGCCTCCCCTGCCATATTAAGAAATCAGGAGGCTCTTAAGATTCAATACAGTTTCCACATTGTTCATTCCATTGAAACTGCACTCATAAAGTGTCTAATGATCTCTGTAAAGGCATGTATACACTACAAATGCTACAGTAGTGCAGCTGCTGTACAGCAGGTATGATGCTATAGCATATATACTTGCTACACTGATGGAAAGGGTAAATAGCAGAGTCCTTCAAAATATATATATTGGGACCAAGCATAAATGATGTGGAAAAGGAAAGTGGCAAAATTTGCAGGTGATACAAAATTATTCAAGATCAGTAAGTCAGAAGCAGACTGAAGAATTACAAAGAAATCTCATTAAACTGGGTGGCAAAATGGTGGAAGAAATTCAGTGTTGATAAATGCAAAGTAATGCACATTGCAAAAAATAATCCTAGCTATACATACAAAATGTTGAGTTCTAAATTAGCTGTTACCACTCATTATGGATAGGTCCTTGAAAATGTCTGCCAAGTGTGCAGTGGTAGTCAAAAAAAACCAATAGAATTTTAGGAGAGGGATAGATACTAAGACAGAAACTGCCATAAAGCCACTACACCAACTCCTTATATTCTGAATGCTGTTTGGTCCCCCATCTCAAAAAAGAGTAGAAGTAGAAAAAATTCAGAGAAGAGTAATGAAAATGATTAGAGGTGTAGAATAGTTTTCATATGAGGGGGGAGTAAAAAGACTGGGACTTTCATCATAGAAAAGTGACTACTAAGGAGACATATCATAGCAGTCTATAAAATTATGAATAATATGGAGAAAGTAACTAAGGAAGTGCTTTTTTACCCTTTCACATAAACCAAGAATGTGGGGTCACCCAATTAAATTAATACAATTTAAAACAAAGGAAATATTTCTTCACATATTGTAAAGTCAGTCTGTAGAACTCATTGTTATGTGATGTTGTCCAAAAGTATTTAATGGTTCAAAAAAGAATTAGATAAGTTAATGGAGAATAGGTCCATCAGTGGCTATTAGCAAGATGGCCAAGAATGCAGCTCTGTGCTCCTGGTGTCCCTAAATCTCCATCTGCCAGAAGCATCAGGCACTGATGAATGTCAGAGATAGGCCACTGGGCTAGTCTGACTTTGTATGGCTGCTCTTCTGTTCATATGTAAATTAAACTTATTGGCAAAATTGAGTTGGTATCTCCCCCAAACCGTTATATCCTTTCTTTCCACCAAGGCCCATGTAGCCTAATTGTCATTACAGCCATGTCTCCGGACCCATGTGTTTAGGCAGAGTCTAATCTTGCAACTTATGTACCAGATAAAAGATTCAACCTTCCCTGTCTATCCAGGCTTCTTAAACTCTTGGCCAGATCACTGTAATCTCCTTATCTCTCGCCTTGACTGCTGCAGACATCTTCTCACCTATACCTGTTTTGATCTCCCTATAGTCCATTCAGAATGCTGCTACGGTCATTTTAGTAGCTTATTCCTCTCATCACCTCACCCCTCATAGAACACTAGAACTGGAAGGGAGCTCGAGAGGTTGAGTCCAGTCCCCTGCCCTCATGGCAGGACCCAGTACTGTCTATACCAGTGGTGCACAACCCTGCCCTCATGGCAGGACCCAGTACTGTCTAGACCAGTGGTGCACAACCCGTGGGGGTCTCGGCTGTCTTCCTGGGGGGTCGCAGCGCTGGGCCAGCCACCATTTTGTTTTCCTGACATATGCGGCGGGGGGGGGAGTGGCAGCGGAGCGGACTGGTGCTTTAAATTAAAGGGGGTCACAACAAAATGAGTGTGGGGGGGTTTTCCTCAACCAAAATTTTTCTGGCCTTGGGGGTTGCCAATTAAAAAAGGTTGAGCATTGCTGTTGAACACCATCCCTGATAGATGTCTAACCTGCTCTTAAATATCTCCAGAGATGGAGATTCCACAACCTCCCTGGGCAATTTATTGCAGTGTTTAACCACTCTGACAGTTAGGAAGTTTTACCTAATGTCTGGCCTAAACCTCCCTTGCTGAAGTTTAAGCCTCATTGCTTCTTGTCCCTGTCTTTCTGCATCCTCCATTTACAATATGCTTCTGATGAAGGACTTCACATGTAAAGACTGGATTTGAGTTTTGTCTAGTATCTACCAAGTGGTCTTCAGATCCTTGACTGATGTCCTAGATGCTACCATAATACAAATATAAATGCATTTCTTTATTCTATATGCCAAAAACTTGATAAAAGTAAGCAATTTTTTTTTAAAGAAATGAGCCTGCAAGCATTTGTTTTATGTAAAAATCATTTTTATATAGCCTTTATAAACATCGGTAAAATGCTAAATTTTAGGCTTACCAGATTTGATAATGCCTCTTAATGAATATTTAAATATGCAATACATAAACTACTTGAAATCTGTGCTTTGGATGTGCTTAGGTGTGCATATGCAGTCTATATTTAAATGGACACTTTTCCCTTAAGGTCTGAAAATATTGTTAATAAAATGGCTAGATCTGGAATTTGAGTGAGAGAATATCTTTTTACCTTTCAATTATATATTTAAATGTATCTGCTAGAGGCTTTAACATGTAACATTTCATTATATTTGGAATAATTCAACTAATAAACACTGAAATTCAGTATTATATTTGGAATAATTCAACTAATAAACACTGAAGAGAAGGCAATAAATGCAGTACATGTACATTATAAACATTTATCTGGTAACATAGTAATGTGTAACATTGTGTAAAGGTCATCTGTAAATTAAAACATCTGATATAAAAGATGGACACAATGTAATCCTGAAATGGTAAAAGTAAAAATCATATTGTACAAGAGCCACTATATAAGTAGGACAATGAATATAAAATATTTCAATTATAGAATGACGTGACTAATAGATTGGTATCCAGCTTCTCAGGTGATTTGTGTAGAAATTGAATGTTCTATGTATCCCAAGTTCTTCAAATTTAAGACAGTATTTATTGTACTAAAAGCTTTTGCCATTCTGGGAGATCTGTAGGAGCATTCTAGATTTTAGTTCGTAAGATGGAACTTGGTGGACTGGAGATTCTGATTGGAAGGTTGTTGGCTGCAAAGCATGCTCTCTCTCATGGTCTGCTAGAGTTCAAGTTGTCTAATCAGAATTCTCTCAATAGCGAAGGATGTAGTTATGAGAACTTATTTGTGGGATTCCTACCGTAAGATATCTATCTATCTAAACTCAGTTTTTTTAATAGCTAGATATTTTAGTGTTTCTTTTTAGGAATAACGAGTAGTCCTGTGGTAACTTAGAGACTAGCTATATCTCTCTATATAGATATCTATCTATATATAGCTAGTCTCTATCTGTCTATCTCCATGAAAGCTCATGATTCTTATTCTGTGTGTGTGTCTGTCTGTCTGTCTCTCTCTCTCTCTAAGGGTATGTCTACACTGCAGCTTTATTTCGAAATAACATAGTACATGTATACACAGTAAGCCATTAGTTAGAAATAATGTTGAGATGGAGGACTTCTTACTCCGACTGCTGTAAACCTCCTTTCATAAGGAGTAAGGGAAGTCAAAGAAAG